TAATAACCAATGATAAAGCAACCACCCCCAGAAGACATAATAAGGAAAAACAAAGATACATGTAGCCACTATTAAAAACCCACCGCAAAAAAAACACTTCCCCCTTCTTTTTGTTGGTCTGGAACAAGCAAGAAAAAAGGGGTCATCAAAGATTAAAGAAGAGGATACCCCCCCCCCCCCGGCACGCATCTCATGTTCCTCGACTACAAGCTAGTTCCCGATTTACGAATATGATCTGGATTAGGCCTCGGCCAAACGTCGAACTTTTCATGAGACGAACCAAACTCTAATTTAGGTCGAGCTGAATTATGTTAAGATCGTCTGTTGGGTCAAACGTCCAACTTAATCAGACCAAAAAGCTATTTTATAACTTTTTTTTTCTCGAAAGAGGCTAAATATACATTATCATACAAATTTTTAAATGTGGCTAAATGTAATTTAGACAAAGTTAAATTACAAGCCAATGCCATCAGCGGTCTCCTCCTCAAGTGTACGTGATCTGTGGGGTAACCGCAGGGGCCTTTTGCTTATCTTGTGATTTATGTTGCATCTCATGCGCGCATTTTTGAGCTGATCTTTGCGGATCTGTTGCTTAAGCGAATCTTAGCGGATTCTGGCTCCCAGTCCGTCCCTCCTCTTCTGTGCATTGGTAAGTATAGGGTTAGGTGAGTATTTTCCACTGAACTCTTTCAGTGTGATGGTGCCAGTTGGCGGCTGCATGCAGGGGTGGTTCCCGCTCGCAGGGTTGCCATGGATACCTCCTTGCTATGACTGAGGCTTTCAGGCTCCCGCCCAACCTTTAAGGCACCAGTTCCCAAGCTCATCTATTGGCGATGAGTTTAATATTAGTTTAGCTAGTTGCATGTGAAGATCGACGTTTTCCCACAGACGATCTTTTCCGTCTGCTTCAGATGGGCGATCCAAACTCATTCAGACGAGTGAACTTAACTGAGGCAGACGTCGAACTTTTCAGGAACTTAGTTTCAGCTCGTGAAAAGTTCGACGTTTGGCCTAGGCTTTACAAAAAAAATTTAATAATAAGCAATTTTAATTTACAAACCTTTATTTCGTTGAGTTTAAAATGTAACAAGATCATTCTAAGAAACTAAACTTGGCGCTTTTGTGCTTAAGGTAGTTTGCACTGTTCTCTCCCACTTGTTTGCAAGAAATGTTCATTGCTGATTCACAAATAAAGATACAGTCGATTCACAAGAGAATTGCTCCTGGATTAACCCCGACTAAACTAAATCATAGTGAAATACGTACAGTTTACATATTTTAATATAGAGCGGTTTTCATTTGAGTGTCGAAAAGTAATTGGTTTTGCACTTTCTACACGATGCGATTGGCTTAAAAGATTCGCGCCACCTTTTCATCCAATCAGAAGTAAAACCAAAGCCAATTGTGACGCGCTCGCATGCATTTTCCCGCGCTTTGCGTCAGCCACATGTAATTACTTCGAGTTTTGATTGGTTCAATGTATTGTCTGTGTCCTATGTGATTGGCCAGAGTAATTACTTTGGTTTTGGTTTTACGACACTCAAACGAAAACCACTCTAAACTAACTTACAGTTTCTTTTCTGTATATGTCAATATCATACAAACTCCATTGGAATATAAGAAGAATATACCAATCGTTAGTTACAATATTTATCAAACTATCAAACTCTAAAACTACTAGTAACTCATGTTGTATTAACCTTGGTCACACTGGACCAGATGGCGTACAAGTCACAATACTCAGTTACAATATTTATCAAACTCTAAAACTACTAGTAACTCGTGTTGTATTAACCTTGGTCTCACTGTACCAGATAGCGTACAAGTCACCATCATCAGTCACAATATTTATCGAACTCTAAAACTACTAGTAACTCACGTTGTATTAACCTTGGTCTCACTGAAAAAGATGGTGTAAAAGTCACAATCATCAGCTGCAATATTTAACAAACTACAAAGCTACTAGTAACTTGGAATATTTGTAAGCTTTCCTTTTTGATCAACACTATTCCAAAGTGATAATTTCTCTTTATAAATGTGTAACCTATTTTCGAAGCACAACATATTCTTGAAACATTTGGCACTTGACTTGATTTACTCTCCATAGAAAGTTACAGTGCGTTCAAAAGAAGATAGTGATCTGCATTTTAAACGAAGTTTACTAAAGTCATATATGCGACTTTCATTTGTAGCGCAATGGTTGTTAACGTTCAATCTAAAGGTTGTCAACGAAGACCTGTTCACTAGAAGACAGCAAATATAGGGTAACCAGTCTTCAGTGGCTTTCCCGCAGATGTTGATGGTCAGATTGAGTGTAGGAAACGACGGGTTTCCAGGATGCATATTACGAAACCAGAATGGGTCCCAGCCTTTAAGCCGCTTACCTTCAGAGCACAAATTCATTGTCAGGGTGAGCGTAGTTAATGACTTGTTTTTCGCCAAACCAGTATTCAGGAAAAGGGCCCACATCTCACAAAAATGGTAATCGTCATCACTGCTGACCGTCACCGTAAGAGTAGTTACTGTCTCGTTTTCTGCCATTCCTTCACACACACTTTCTTCCCAGCAGGGTCTAGTAAGGGTTTGGTCCTTTATTGTCAGAGTTAATTCATTTAATGATGCAGTTCTCGCTAAGCCATTAGCCAGACCTTTATACCAGTATTCAGGCTCTTCGACGTCATCTGAGTGACGAAACGAATCAAGCGAATCGTTGTCGTTCTCGTCGTCGTTGTCGTTGTCGTCGTCGTTGTCGTTCTCGTTGTCGTTCTCGTTGTTGTTGTTGTCTTCGTCGTCGTAGTTAACTGTGACACAGAGTATGGACAATGAAGTGTTTTCCACCAAACAGTTTCGCAAAAAGCAACTCCAGAATTCATCCAAATTACTGCCATTGATTACAACGGAAAGTGTAGACAATGAAGTCATTCCCATCAAACTGTCACCCAAACTTTCTTCTGCTGTGCTCTGCGCGCCATGATCTTCAATACCAAGACTGAGTGTAGTTAAGGAAGTCACCTTGGCCAAGCAGTTCACCAATCTACATTCCCAGCCTTTTGCCATGTTACCGTAGTTGTTGATTGCGAGATTTAAAACTGTCAGAGAAGAGCTTTTCAACAAACTCTCCCCAAGGTCTTTCCCTAAGTCTGCTGTCGTGCTTATTATTAAGTTGTTGATCGTAACATCGAGCGCGGTTACTGTCTTGTTTTTTGCCAAAGCATCACCAACAAGGTGTGTCCATTCTTTACTTGCACCATCGTCGTTAATGATTTTTAATTTGATCTTTTCCTCTCTGGTATCCTTGATTGCATTCAGCACTGATGAAAGTGATTCAATACTGTCAATACAGACATCAAGGAAATTGCACGATTCGTCCGGGACGACACAGACGTCATGAACATTTACCTCGACATTTACGTGGTTATCCGATAGTCCCTGAAGAACAGCACCTGTTTCTGGGTCCAATTCCCCCCAAACATCGATCGTCATGGAGCAAAGTGTCTTGTGTCGTCTTATATATCTTGCAATGCAATTAGCTACTGTGTAAGTTAATTTTCCATGCACTTTTAAAGTGAGGCTTGTCAGCGGGGAAAGTACCAAGGCTTCAAATAGAGCTTCTGCCCCATCAGAACTCATCTCACCCCAAAGGACTACAGTTAAATGTTGTTTCGTCTGTAATCCGTTCTCGTCCACATCTGGACCAGGACAAAAATAAGCCAACTGATTATGCGTTATTCTTCTGCACGAACCTGGGTAAACACTTAAAGTAACTAACGCCTTATTTCCCAAACGAACACGTTCCGTAAGAGCTTGCCAGTTGTCTGGAACTCTTCCACGGACAGAAATTTTCAAATCTTTTAGAGTACGATTTTCTAAAAGGCCTTTTTCTAGGACATTGGCAGCAAAATGACTAAGGTTGCCATCGATGCCAATATTGAGCGACTTTAATGCGGGTTGTTGTGCCATTCCTTTACTGATAATAGTAGCTAGCAAGTCTTGCATATCCCCAAATATATTTAGGGAAAATGAGGTTAAAGATTCATTTGATAAAAGCTTTCCTAAACCGTTGACTGCGGTATCACTCAATGACCCATGAACCCTGAGGCTCACAGACGACAAAAGAGTGTCAGCAGACAATGCAGTTTCAATAGCACTGACCCAAGCTACGCCTTGCACTCTACGAAGTAGAAATTTTACGTTCTTCAAGGATTTACGTGAAGCCAACAATTCACCGATGACAAGAGCTGCGTCACAAGGGATGCTGCCACACACTTCAAGAATAAACTCTGATAAAGTCGTGTTTCCGGATAAGCCGTTACGTAGGGCTATGGCTAGATCTGATTTCATTGCAGGGGAAAAAATGCTTAGAGTCTGAAGCTCAGAGCAAACTTGTATGTACTCTACAACAGTCTGATAGTCACTGTCGTTCAGCCTGAGTCGATGACGAAAAGTAAGCCAAACTGGCTTCTGCAAATTTGAAAAATTTCTGAAGGAATCTAAAACGTGATAAATATCATATTTGGAAGGATCGTCAAGGTAAATCTGTACATGCGTAGGAAACGGTAAGTAGGAACAAAGGGTCTCGGCCATTTTTTCAGCATGTCCAGTTTCACTGATGCTTTTCGTAAGGAAAGTTGCTGCTTCCCTGCCTTGGTCCTCCTCGTCGTCATTGTCACAGTCATACCAGTCATCTTCCCTCTCGCGGTCATCCATTGTCACCACTCCAGACTGTGTGCAAGTGAACCACTCCCACTCTCCCCAGTTTTTTAGCTCCTCACCAATCTGAGTGAATAGAATGTTTGCATCTCTCCCAAGTTATGGTCTTTGTTTTTCTTTGTGAAGAGCTATGAAAAAGTGATCAAGTACTTTTGATTCTGCGAGTTTGTACCTTAACTGGTTTCCTCGCAACTTGTCAGCAATAAAGGCGGCAGCCAGGTATTCTTGGAAGGTCTTGTGAAGAAAGTAGTACTCATGTTGGGGCATTAACCTCCTCAGACTTTCTTCCTTGTAAACTAGGCCTATGTCACGACATACCAATCCTTTGTATCTTCTTTCAAGCGCAGCTAATTCACTTTCACGAAAACAATAGCGATCGCTCAGCAAACACAACCAAGCTAACTCTCCAAGTGCGAGAATAGTCTCTTCATATTGCTTCTCTAAGGCGCTGTTTTCTTTAGGAGCCTCTAGATTGTGTTTAGCGCAATATCTCCTTAAAAGGCACAGTACAATAACTTGGTAAAGCTCAGAACGGGAAGACGGTAAATTCCCCTCATAGTCCTCGTAAATAACACAAAGAAGAAGTAAATTTAACGGATTATTTCGCAGGGCATGTAACAGAGTGTTTTCTTCTATTTCCTTAATGAGACTTTCTCCCTTTGATGAATGCAAGGGACCAACATTTTTAAAATGTTTTCTGATATACTCAAACGCGTCACTTTCTGTGAATCCTTTAATCTCCAAAAGGATATCAAAACCGTACTTTTTCCGTACATCAATTCCCCTCTCTTGCCGGGAGGTAGCCAAAACATAACAAAATGATAAAATTCTCCTTTGAAGCAGTTTATCTACATAACGTTCGGAATCTTTGGGAAGCTCATCCAAACCGTCCAAAATGATTAAAGTTTTCTCCTGGTTATGAATGTCCTTGATGAAGTTAAATAGCCTCTCTTTAGCCTTCTCCTCCATATCTTCTGGCAACAGTTGTTCACTGATACTTTCCATTATATCGTTATGTATATCTCGACATTTCAAAAGCAACATGAGCTCGAATTTGGGAAAAGAACACTCCACTGGGATTTTTCCATGTGCCCAGTCATAAGCAAGTTTAAGGCAAAACGTAGTCTTACCGATTCCTGGACTCCCTTCAACAAGCGTCATAACATCCTCACCTTTGTCAAGTGCTGTGAAGATGTCGAACACATTCACCTCGTTATCATCCACCCGGAAGTCGGCTTTCCGCCTTGAAACGATTTTGAGTCTCGTGTAGACGTCATCCAACGGTAACTCGATGGTGTTGTCCCAAAGAAGTGGTCTTAACTGAGAGCGCCTCTTATATTCACCTTTGAGAAGCTTCACAACAACTGAAATGTACCAATCTGCTGGAAAAAGGAGATCGGAAGTATTTCTCATTAATTTGTAAAATGCTGTTCTCTCATTCATTTAATCAGTAGAATTCTTTCTACCGTCAGTGGCTTGTGAGTAAGTTAAAATAAATTCGCCATCTGGAAATCTTTACCGTAGTTCCTTAATATTAGGGAGCTTAGCAAAAGGACGACAGACAGACGAAAATGCCGGCTTATGTGTGACAAACGTGAATGGGTTATCAATTGCGAGTTTTGCCGTGATCGTCATTTACCAATAAAGTGTTCTGGTCTTTTAGGAAACTGAGATGTGTTTAAATGAAGGTGAAGTTTGGTGGAAAATTTTTTCAAACTCAATAATTATTGTCACACTTGTCACAAGAAGTTTGCCGTTTTTCTTTTCTTCGGCTTCCTTTTGCGTAAGTTCACAATTAATGAACTCACTATTTTCTCTTTTTGGCTGTGCACTAAAGGCTTCAAATAGGTTTCACCCACAAGACAACGTTGAATAAGGAACGGTAACTATCGGATGGCTGGAGCTCGAACTAAAACTTAATTGTTAATACCAAATTTCCGTGTTTTATTTCCCCACCGATACAGCACCACAGAGAAACTAACTTCTTTATCATTTTGGGATTAAATAAAAAAGTTTCAAAGTAGCTGCCACATTTACCCTCCTCCCACATTTAAACGAAAATTCGTTCTTTGTAAAATTATGTTGCTTTAATGATCTGGCTTTTGTAACACATCACTTGTGATCCATCAAAGTCTTCAGGCAAATGTCACAAATCTAAGAATCATTTCGGTGGCGGTCGCCAAATGGTTAAGCCCCTGCGTAGCTGGCGGGAATTCAGCTACGACAACGAAAAGCACCACCACTGTCTTGTTTCGTCAGTTATGCAGGTTATGAAGACGCGCTTAGAGAACACAAGACCGGCTACAAAGGCCCCACTATACTATATTGAGAAAGTTTACACATACTCTCTCATATACACTTAATACAATACCAACCCTTACTCTAAATAACGGAAAACAAAACTTTACCTTCATCTCTCAACAGTCTCGGATGTTTTGGAGCTGGAGTGTCGCTTGAAGATAATGGTCTTTTGGCTTTTTTTGAAGACTTGGATCTCTTTGCTGCGCCTGAAACTAAATCCAGCGAATACCAACATAATAAAGCTTTTGTCTAAATAGCTGCGCAGAAGATAATTTACCAATAATATTAGCCGATCTTTAAATTAGTATTATTTTACCAGCCAGTAAGGCCATGATTAAAGAGGCTTATACACAAATGTAGACGGAACAGTAAATACAACTATCTCTGCCAAGTTTGTTTTCACACACACACACACACTCTTGACGTCACTCTTGGCACGCAATACCGCTGAGCATACGCACCACAGTCATACTAACATATTCTTAACGCTACATTCCCTGACAACAAATCCTGCATGGGGCTAGAAGCGAACAAACAAAGGGCCCCAATTGTGGCAAATTTAGGGATTTGGAGGTTCCATGAATCGCGTTCATGTACAAGGGTATATCATCATTAATAATGGTCGTTTTCACACTAAAGACGGATCACCCATCTTGGAAAAAAGACTCCTCTGTAAGTCAACGGACAAAGCGCGTCTGTGATAGTGGTAAGGAATTTTTCACCTTTCAAGTAAAGGTCAAACCAGTGCTTTTTGTCAGCAATTGACGTATTTTGACCCATGACATTGTGAAAGAATTTTGACCCTTTTTTTTAGACGCGTGGTTTTTCAGTGCCCTGACCATTCCTGGTAAATCTAATTGTCCGACAAAGAATACCCAACAAGAACGCGCTTACAGCAGCATTCAGGTCTCGCCTGCTTGGAGATTAGATCGAGGAATGATGGCGATTAATTGTACAAGAAACATGATTTACTCGCTAAAGGTTTTTTACTTCCTACTTTATCGACGTCGATACTTTTTATTTGTTTCTGAACTGATTTAGTACGCCTGCTAGCGACGACCAAAAATACCTCTGCCGTAGCAGGCTAAACGCGTGTATAAATACACGAAAATTTAAGGGCCTCGATTCCAGAGAAATTACATCATTGCCAGATATCGAAAAAGTGATTTACATGGCACGTCATTTCAATCATCGTCGAAAATAAATCGCATGCTCATCAAAAGACTCATTTGCATACAGTGAAAGTTTACAACACCCGACCATCGCAATTTTGCTAATTAAGATTCTTATTTTTTTCGACCACTCAGTAGTGTTCACTTGCTCCAAAGTAATCAACGCTTTCAAGCGATAGAATTCGTGGACCGACACGTTTCGCAAAAGCTCTAAATTTAATCTTTCCTCACAGGCGGCCCAGACGTAGTATGTGTCACTGAATGAATATATTAATATTCACATGAACAAATTAATGCGATGAGTCGTCGAAACTCTCATGGACTAAAATAGTCCAAAAGTCAAAATATAACAAAACAAAGCTAAAATACTTTCAACTGAACGTATCCTTGTCTTTTCTGGCCGGTTTAAGTGGCATTTTGTTGAGTTTTGAAATTGTAGGTACTATCCACTAAAGAAGAATTAAAGGCTGGCTACAAAACAAACAAACCGTCTAGTACCATCTAGTAATAGTACCATCCCTCCCATAGCAAGTGCTGCATTGTTGCGCGAACGCGGTCGCTAAGCTTGAATATTCACGTCGCGTATTAAACCTGGTCGTTTGCGGTCATATCGAAGCGTAAAGGTCAACAGTGGTTTGCAATTATTGTGCAGTTGCGATGGGTTTTGTGGAGCAAGCGAGCCAGAAGCAGGAGCACACGTTACCTGCAGATTAGCCGATGGTTATTTGGAGCGGATTCGTCGATTATTCTCGAATTTATAGCGCTTCATGTGAAGGCGCGTGGAGATGGTTTGTTTGTTTTGTAGCCAGCCTTTAATTCTTCTTTAGTGGATAGTACCTACAATTGCAAAACTCAACAAAATGCCACTTAAACCGGCCAGGAAAGACAAGAATACGTTCAGTTGAAGGTATCTTAGCTTTGTTTTGTTATATTTTGACTTTTGGACTATTTTAGTCCATGAGAGTTTCGACGACTCATCGCATTAATTTGTCCATGTGAATATTAATATATTCTTAGTCCCAGTTTCCACGGTGTCCGCAAGGAACCCCTGGTACAATGACCCCCGATTTCTGACCCAAAAACGACAAAAAAGTCATGGGGGTACTTCCAGAAAAAATGGGTGGGGATGGGAGGCACGCTTCCTGAAACCCTTACGCTATTTCAGACCAAAATCTGTGATTTTCTCTACCCTATTTCAGACCTAATCAAAAATTTGATACCCTATTTCAGACCTGAAGCTCTGGAGCCCGGCGCACGACCGGAACGCGTGAGAAGCTGTTACGGCATGTACACGGTAGTTGACGTAAACAATAAAAGGGAAATTGTTTTATCACCAAATGATGAAGAAGTAGCTAATTCTTCTAAAAAACGTGCCCAATTCAAGACTAGAGTGCACAAACCATACCCTATTTCAGGCCAAAATGGTCGAAATTGATACCCTAACAGACCAAAACGGCTGAAAAACCATACCCTTTGGCGCCGCACATACCCATATAGCCTATATAAGGGACTACCCCCGGGGCAAAATACGCGTTGAAGATTATGAGTCTCGCTGCTTACGCAAGCGAGACTAATAAGCTGTCGTTAGACTTCGGTAAATGTTTTACATGAAAAACAAAGATTTCCTCTTATAAATATCATGTCCATTTTTCTAAGATTCAACTTAAGTGTACCTTTATGAAGAGATTTTGCAGAAGAAGAGGCTTTTTCATCTTGACAGATCACAGGAGCTTTCTTAGATATATTCTGTTCATCTGTATTGGGGCCTACAAAAGACATAAACAATTCTTTATCTACCTCGCAGACCCTTTGATTTAAACAGACTTTAAGAGTTTAACCAATCCACACAAATAGTCAAATATAGAACAACTTTCCTAGTAGAAATGAATTGTTACGAACCATATCCCAGTTCAAGAAGAGAAAGGAACACATTGTTGCGTGCACACATTCTCCATAACGCATTCAATTAGTTGCAGAGATGCAAATTCACGTAGTTTCAGTTGCACAGAGGACAACAAACAAATGCATAAAACGACGACCATTTTCACTTACGTGCAAATTTATTGGAACAAAAGAAACTTTTTGCTTAAGATAAGAGTTCAACTCCCACAGGATTGTTTTGTTACACCAACAGGGACTTCACGATCTGACGACGCGATTGCAGCGAAAACGTCCCTTAAAAAGCGAGTTTACGTTCTTTCAGTCTTTATCGCGATTATTCCTACCCTTTTACTTTAACAAAAGTAGGCGAATCCTCCCGGAGTTGAATTCCTAGGATCCCTATCCAAGTTCAGAAAAAGAAATTTACAAATAGGCATTTTCACGTGGTAGTCTGCAAAAACAGCAAAGAAAAGGTAGGATGCACGTGCAAAGTTGTTGTTTTGCCTTCTAAGCCCTATCCACGTTAATGCGTTTTCGTTTGAAAACACATACATTTCGATGCGTTTAGGCCTTCCGTCCACACTTATAGGCTGAGCGTTTTCATCGAAAACACATCGATTTGAAAACGCCTAACAAAGTGCACCAAACCAAAATGCATACATATTCTATTCCTCTGGACGGCCGAAAACGCATCAAAATTTAAAACGTGCGGAAAGAGAGTCAAAACAAGGTTTCATCCACCGCTAACGGTTACGTTTTCTGCTTTATGAACGCGCGCTCTGTCGGTTTATTTAGTATCCGATTTTTTCTCCGGACCGAGTTGGCTTTCCCTTTTCAGCGCTAACTCTCTTTCCAGCTCTGTTCACTGTGCCCCTGATGAGAATGACAGACCTTCTGAGCAGACTAGAACTTCTTAATTAACATCAGTCTATGTTCCTGTCTATATTAGTGAGCTCACTAAGACTTAATAACAATGTACCATAGCTATTTGTAAATTTGGTTCTTGTATCGTTGCTAAATGAGTATTTATCACTTACTTAATGCTACATATTCTAATTAAAGAAAAAACGTAGTTGTGGCTATTTTTCCGCAGCTACATGTAGTTTACGCTCAATGAATTAATGTGTGGTCATTGAACTACTGGTGTGGTTACTGAACTGTTGGGTGGTTATTGAACTAACAAAAAGAAAAAACGGTAGTGTGGACACGAATCGATCGATGCTTTTTCGATGACAACGAAAACGTATACTTTTGAAAACGCATTAGTGAGGACAAGGCCTACACCTCGTCGTATCCTAAAGTCCCTAATATGGCGGACGTGACGTGATGTCAAAACGCTCAGTAGGTTTAGGAAGCAAAAAAAAAACAAACAAACAACTCTGCAGGTGCAACACGCTTTTTTGTACATTTCCTTGCCATCTAGAACAACTACGACGTGAAATGATCAAATTTTAAGTTAACTTGAGAACGGGAACGGCAAGGCGATAAATGTTACTGTCTCTTCGTGAAATCGGCCGCGGTACCCTCTCTTCAGCTCCAACGTTATTCATGTTCCTTCTTTTATGTAACTGGGCGACTTGGAATAACGCAAAAACGTTTGAGAGAATGCGAAGTTTATTTTTCAACACGCAAGTCAGCGTTGTCGAATCGTAAGGTCTCTTATCGTCGGCATCGTTTCGATTGGGCTAGTTATGGCACAATGTTTCCAGGCGATTGAGACGATCCATCATGTGTTTCGAAGATAGCAATGGCCTGGACCGAGTTGTTTGCAAGGCGATTAGCACATACCAGGGTTGGTTACCATGACAATTCGTATGCTCTATTTACAGTTAAACTAGGATTACAGATAAACATGTTTCTGTCAACAACTATCATAATAATCTCTTTATTTACCCTCGGCAGTATTTATAGCACCTATGCTAGTGGCACCGAGCCAATGACTGAAACAAATAATTCAAATCAAATATAACGGGGTTAAGAATCCCAACTGGCCGGAGGCAAACCAGCTGGCTACTTACAAGCGTGGTCGAGGATTTGAACTCGTGACTACCGTGAACAAATCCAGCTAGCGGTCAGACCGGGACTTAAACTCGGGGCCTCCGCGAATCCAGCGCCCTTAACCAATCGGCCTCGCTCCCTCCCATAACTCAACCTTGAACAATTGTCCGAAGCAATTTAGTCCAAAAACTTGGGGCGATTAAGATGATCCGGATTAGAAAAATTGCGATGAAGTTTAAATGAATGGAATTCATTTTGTTACTTAGGTTTTCACTACTGGTTGTTGTATGAGTTTGCGTAACTTCGTACGATTACGGTTAAACATGTTTCAAACAACTCAACCTTGAACAGAACTAAAGTATTTTTGTTTACAGGCTACTTCCTACTTAGTAATCGTCCGGAACGACTTGCCCAAAAAACTGGCAGCGATTTAACCTGCGATCAGGCGATTTTTTTTGTTTTGTTTTATAACCCGGACGATTCTTCGGGAACCATGTATTAGGCAACCGCCAAGACGACAAAAGATTCTGTACATTTCTTTGCTGTTTACTAATCAAACTTTTACAAAGAACACAGAACAGAAAATTTTCCTTCCTGTTTTTGTAAAATTCAAGTCCAGAAACATTCGCATGCATTTAACAAATTGTGCGAGTTGGAAAAATGGTGATGAAGTTTGAATGAATGCAAATTCATTGTATTACTCAGCTTTTCACTACTGGTTGTTCTAGCTGCGTAACTCATACAAGTACAGTTCCTGGGCCTAGCGTCAGCATTCTAACACATGAAGACCAACTTAAATAACAATGTGAACATGTTACCTTCAGAAATGTTAAGCATTCGTTCCACAAGTCGATTACAGTCATCGCGCCAGTTGTGCTTCAAAGCGTATTTTTCACGTAGGGTTTTACACTCGTCAAGTCGCATCTCTCTGTCTTTTTCACGGACAATTCTGATCGCATTGGCCCAATCTTTTGGATTTTCCGACTTCACCACGCAGTTTGAACCAAACGAAACTTTCTTCAAAGCTTCGCCAAGACCAGAGTTCCCACTAACCAGCACAGGCAGACCAGCTGATAAAGCCTCAAGGGCAGCTAGACCGAATCCCTCAGTTCGTGATGGCATTATAGCAAGATCTACTTCACAAAACAATTGGGCTAACTTCTCTCTGCTTTCATTAAAACGACGCACCCTAAGTTGACTGCGATCAATGCCATACTTAAGTAGCAAATGTGCAACTTTCTCTTCTTCTCCGCTTGTTGCCCCAACAAACACAAGTTTGTAGGTCGAGTCTTTCAACTCAGCAATGGCTTGGGCAGCGATATCATATCCCTTCAGCTGAAAATCTTCACTGTCGCTACGTCCAAACACTAAAACACTGAATGAACTTATTTCTTGAGAGGCTTGCTTTACATCAGCAAACTCAGAGAAAATGCCTGGGGTAAGATTGAGAACATCTTGATCTTTTCCACAAGGACGGAGATAACCTGAAAAAGCTGCAGCCAGCTTGGGTCCAACTGCTACAACTTGATCAGCTTTTTCACAGAGTTTTACCTCAGCCTGGTGCTTTTTCTCGCCTCTTGAAATGGCATCTGTGTAGGACTTAAACATACCAAGCTCTTCAGGAGCTGTATGAACGACCTGAATCCACTTGCACTTACACTGACGTTTTATACCCTGCACTTGCCGACCAAGAACAGCCCCATGTCCTATCACACAATCAACAGAATGGCTTTCAGGGAAAAAGGACAACCAGTCTACTGGGTTGTCATAACCTGGCATTTCTTCTGCTTCAATAAGACGTACATTGTGACTTGCAGCAACTCGTTTATCCTCTTCACTGCACTGGGGAAGATAAACGCTAACATCCACTTTGGGGTGTTTAGCCAACTGAATGGCCAGCTCTCGGTTGATGGTTGACAAGCCTCCTTTTGTTGATCTCCATTCACTGCTTAACAGAGTTACCCTCAATTTCCTTGAGGAAGTGGATTCTGAATTGCTTTCATGGTCTTCCTGTGATGTAGAGGCTGTGCTAGGAAAGGATGACAATTCCTAAAAGAAGAGTGGCATTAATTTATTTAAGGGTTTATTAAAAAGGTAACCTGAGATCAGGCTCAATTTTAGCAGTTCTCATACATTCTCACTTACATAGTCCCAATAAAATTTTTCTTTTCGTTTCGCTTCACCCGCCGGAATGTTATTTTACAAAGAGAAACGAGAACAGAGCCTGATCTCAGGTAATTTAAAAGCATTTTTAATACAGTCTAAACTCTCCTTACGGACACCTCTATAATATGAACACCTCTCTATTACGGACAGTTCGTTTGGTTCCAGAAATGCCAAAAATCATACATTCCCTACCTCTATAATACGGACACCTCTGTAAAGCGGACACTTGGTTCTGTCGCTTTGGTGTCCGTAATAAAGAGGTTTGATCGAAGTAAGTTCTTGCAAACTTTAATTGAGCATTGTCTTCCACTGCTTTTCTGTCAGCGAGTGCACTTGAAAAAACTGACTAGAAAAACATGCAGGACATTTTTTCTGTTTGGGCTACCTGTGGTGTCTCATGTATATGACGTCATCAAAAATTCAAATTAAGAAACTATCGATTCTTCTGAGTTTCATGAAGCATTACAGCACCTAAACACCTTTATTTAAACAAAGTTTTGGTTCGAAGGGGTTCTTCATTTTGCGATAGAGGACGTTTAAATTTCTAGGCTTTTGCGTCACGCGGCATTTAGCTGGCGGCCAGGAAGGCTCTTATTTGGGTTAAAAACATCACCAATTTTGGGAGATTTTGCTATCTAAACATGCCTTGTCTTAGAATAAATATCACTTTAATCCTTTATGACTTTCTCAAGCGATGAATTCACGCACTAGTAGGAAAACTCACAACCAGATGTTTCTGTTGGTTTCCGGCAGCCATGTTTGTGCCCCTCAAAGGGACACAAACATGGCGTCTCCATACAAAGCTTTATAAATTTGGGTAAAACGTTTTTCCGAATATCTCGCATATGAAAATATCGCACAGACCTGATTCTTGGCGAGGCCTTTTGCATATTTATCTTCTTTTATTTCCTAGATTCTGGTGTTTCTGTATTGAATGATTTGCAATGTTTTTTTGATTGCATGACAGCAAGTGTAAACGCTTCACGTGGCCCAGTATGATTTATTCATATGATTGAAAAGGAGGGGTCAGAGACAACTTGTAGGGTGAAAGGTCAAAGATGATGCACGTTGCTAAGAGGGTTTCAACAGTGCATTACGCATGTACCACACTATGAGGTGTGAACTACTGTACATGTAAGTGAACTTCCAATTTAATGATATGAAACGAATAAAATGATCACTTAGTGAACTACAGGTAATTCTTTTAACCCTTTAAAGCCTAATATCAAAATTCAGATTCTCATTTGTTGTCCCTATTAGTTTTCAATAGAAGTAGTGGGGAGAATTTGTTGAAGTATCAATTAGATTCATCTTGTGTGATCGGGTCCTCAATTCTCATGACCACTGTGTTTTATAAAGACGTGATACTACAAGGAGAAATTTGATGCTGATCACCCTTAGGGCTTCAAGGAATGCATTGAGATCAGTCTGGAGAATTTGTATGTGGATACTGGTGCTTAAAGGGTTGAAACAAGCCATTGAAGCCCACACAGTAAGAGCTTATCTTGGTTTGAGTACTGTGAATTGCCAAGAACTATTCACAGCCCAACTTCCCCCACCCCTCCCTGGATGGGATACTAGTCCACCATAGCATTGCTGCCAATGGTATGTAGCCAGTTTAAAAAAAAATAAATAAAATAAAGACTTGCGAGAAGAGAGGTCAAGGAAGAAATAGTTTCTTGACTAAGATCAAAACTCGAAAAAAATTTAATTAGATTTTTATTACGTCGGATAATGTTACCTTTTCACCAGATATTAAGAATTTAAAGCTCAGAAAGAAATACTATTCAAATTTTTTCTTTACCATTCTTTTTGTCTACGTCTATCTTATCCCTTTGACGAAATTATTATATATTTGAAAAACCTATGTATTTTTCTTTAATTCCTGATAATGCACACAATCTTTTGAGATCATGACACTAGTCATTCTGTTCTTTTCTACAAAAAAATTTTTTGACATCATAGATCACGTTTCATCTACTTTTACATATTACAGATCATGCCTGTTAAATAAAAGGAGAAAACACAAAAACACAGAAAAAATACTCACAATACTCAAAATACTGTCTTAAAATTTGTGCTTGGTAACGTACAAAAGGAATGTTTAAGAAGGAATCCACCAGGAAACTGGGTAATTTTAATTCTCAGTGGACAAAAACCTTGTACCTGCACAATAATTTTTAAAAGGCCTCGGGAAGAAAAAAATCTGTTAAAAAATTATTATTCACTCGATCGTACAGAAACCAACGATTTTGTAACTATGGCACATAAGGCTTTATTCTGGCCGAGTTTGAGGCCAGGTCATATTTTGACTATTTCCTCATCTTAAGTTGAAAATTATGCGGACCTGCTCTTAAGAATATTGCATTCTTTTTACATTTTTCAAGAGCTAAAGATGTAAGTGGTCATTTGTAATAACACCGAAGAAAATTTCTCATGGGATTCCAAGAAAATGAATGTCAAATTTCACAAGAATTGTGAAAACACAGGAAAAATTCTGAAAATTTAATGTGTAAGATGTAATTTTGTGAAATTTGACATATTCATTTTCTTGGGCTCCCATGAGAAATTTTCTTTGGTGTTATTACAGAAGACTAATTACATCTCTAAACCTTGGAAAATGAAAAAAAGAACGCAATATGCTTTAAATTATTCTGGTACAGAATTTTTGTCCACTAAAAATTAAAATAATTTTCTCAATTTCCTGGTGGATTCCCTATGCACTGTAAGAATCACTGGAATTTAGTATTGCTTTTGAACGATATTGTAGTGAAGTTGATCTTTAGTATGAAAACTTTAAACGGTTGACAAGTATGTTTGTGCATTTTTTGAAAAACTGCCCTGAAAAATGGGTAAACAATGTAGATCTATCACACATGCAACTGAAATTAGTCCTGATGTCTTGACGATATGTTGTTATTAACAATTGCATTGTTTCTTTGCCTCCATATATTGAAATGGTTCCCCTGGGAGTTTACAGATTGACACACGCACTCGGAAAGGGGGTTTGGGGTAGGGGGTTGGGAAACTTCCATGTTTGGCTCACTCAGTATGTCCCGCTCTGCACGGTAGGGGTTTATGGGATCTTCAATCTTAGAAAAAAGTATTCAATTTCACTATTTAGCATCTTAACAAGGGTTGCAATTTGAATCCATTTTGCTATAAACAGGGTCAGAATCAAAGGGTTTTAGCACCACAGACCCAACCAAACTTCCTTTAAATCTCTCCCCCCCCCCACGCCCCCGCAACTCTACTGCCCTGAAAAGTTTCTTCCCTTATGCATAAGGATAGTTGCCCCCGCAGGGATTTTGCCCAGAGGCGAAATCCCGAGGAGGCACCCTAGTAACTCGCACGTATATTAAGGACACTACTTACAGTTCAAATATACAGTCAGTATACTAGAAAAAATCTCGATTTGCTCGAACAGGGGCCGCGAGGAATCAGTAGGTAATGATGACGTTTCTATTGTTTACGCCTGCAAGTACGAAATGGTTAGGATGACGTAAAGACAGAAAATCCCAAAGGGACCGCTCAGATAGATTTTGTGACATTTATTGTGCAGTCATACTTTGATACCCTTTTGCATAACGCAGTGACATTCTGTGGAGCAGTTGTTTTGAAAGTTATGGTCCAAAAGACACTCGCTAAGCGCAGATGGGGTTATAAGGTGCTTTTAACTGTGTATATATAAACACTTGGAGAGTTTGCCAGACACGAGTTCACAAATCTTCGATTTTTATTGGAAACCTTGCCAGACACTCTTTCTCTGTCTTTGACTGGAATAAAACTCAGCCCCAAACAAGCACGACGAGTGAACAACGGCTAGCTTATCACTAGCAGATTGATGGACAATTACAGAAATTCGCGGACAATCAAATTCTGTGCTCACTTATTCCCTGCTCACAGATGTCCTTCCGTTATAAAGTTTCAAATAAGACTAGAATGCGCGAGCGTGAATCGATCAAGCGTCCTTTTATTTCTAAGGCTTACTTTCCGGCAAATAAAATGAACTGAATGTAAAAAGTGAAAGACTGAAATAGCGTAAAATTCAACTTCTAATTAAATCTTTTCTTATGGTTTAGAGTAAACTATACTCGAAACTAAGAATGTTTTGATCAAAGCTGTGTTACTCGAACTGAAACTGTGCATGGAACCTTGCGTTTCCTGTATAATTTTATCTCACCTATTGTATGGAATATGTGTGAAAATTTTCATTATCAATCGGTATATTTCAAAGAGCTACACAACCAGCAAGAATACTATTGACCGACAATATACAGAACGGGGGCAGCTGTAGTGTCAACTATTACTAGTTTAATTTACTTTGACGGTTTTTTACTGAGTTAAAACTCAAGAGATGGAACAGAGGGGGCTCAAATCAGACCTCCCCTGATTCAGAGTCTGACATGATTAACATCCCTCCACCAACATTCACAACCACAACTAGAACTTCTCACGATTTAACACCTTACAACTTGTAACGTACCAAGAAAAATCGACCTTCACTTGACCAACCCTAAGCTTATAGATAATGAATTTTTCTTACCTCCATCAGCCTGGACATCACAGGAATCCTAAAAATCCTTTAATACTGCAGACATGAACACTACAATAGGAAAAGTGAAAGAGAGTATACATAATGTAAATAATATAGTGCAATGTTGTCAAGTACATGTACCATTTGACACTTTCTTTTTGTGGTAGTTTAATTTATATAATTTGTGGATTGATGATTTTTTTGCAATTTGCAAACAACTACTATTTAGTTGTTGGACCTATCCCAATAATCGTTATTGGGATTGGTCCAGTCTGGTTTTTCTCCTTCTGAATCTTAACAACTGCATTATATTTTTTCCATGATTCAAAATACAGGAAAATGTTGT